AAATTCTTTCTATGAAGCCAGCACCACCTTAATTCCAAACCTGAAAAAGATGTGACAGACAGTTTAACAGATTTGAGCAGCCATTGTCACTGTCAAGGAACAGGTTTTTTTTTTCTTTTCATACTATTTGTTGAACTCTTTCCTTAACATAGAGTTAATTATATGTGTACAAAGATAATTGAAAATAGATCTTGGTAAAAAATAAGAGTGGGAACAAGAGAGGGAGAATGAAGTTTGTAACTATAAAGCTGTATAGTTCTGCATACATTACTTCTAAGTGTACAGTTTAAAAACTTGCCATGGGACCCAAATCCATTAAGCTGGGCAGTAAAAATGCCATGTTAAGTGCCGAAGTGACCATATTAAGTGTTAAAGTGGACATATAGCTAGGATTAAGTATTAAAGTGATCATATAAATAGGATCAAGTGTCTATTAATAATAAAGGAATAAAAAGGAGAGAATGTTCCAACATGGGAAGCAGACCACACAGCAGACTCATAGAATGACAATCACTTTAAGTAGCACTCAGACCTCAGAATCCGCCCTTAAGGCATCCTGGTTTGGCTGAAAAGCCTATGAGAGCATTTCAGACATGGAAAGCCAATACATTGTGGCAAAAATGTATTTCTGCATGAAGGATCTCTGAATGAGACCCAAGTGGAAAGAAGTGGCCATCAAAGAAGGATGTATTTTTCTCTGAAGGGAGGAGAGAACTTTCAGTTTGCTTATGGCCTTGTCTAAACACTGACAGAGTTTGTTGATTCAAAAGGCTTCCATAGCCTTGGCAGCTCATGTCAAGAGCCTTGGGTGGTCACTGACATCATACATAAGAATGTTAAATGTTAAATTAACAACAGGAGTCACTGTGCACTAACTTCCCATGCAAGACCTCTGTCCTAAATGAGTTGTATTATGAAAGTCAACTGTAAAACTTGTTCTCAAAGAGTTTATGTGTGTGTGTGTGTGTGCAAATTGTTGATATCTTTACTTAGTATAGAGTTGGTCTTCTGTGTATAAAGTTAATTGAAGATGAATCTTAATAGAGAGTGGAACTGGGAAGTGGATAGGGAGGAAAGGAAAGGGTGGGAGTGTGGGTAGAAGTGTGGGTATGGTGGGAAGAATCACTATGTTCCTAAAGTTGTAGTTATGAAAAGGATGTTTGTATTCCTTAAAAAACATAACACACACACACACACACACACAAAACAACATTTCTTGGGGGAAAAAAACTAGTGGTTTCCCTGAGCTTTGTTCCTGCTTCCACCTTCAGATTAACCGGAGGAAAGCCAAATATACGTCCCCAGTGGAACGACAATACACGTGTTGAGCCTTCCCTTCTTTCTACTATCAAGCTGTGGCTCACCCCTGTCTTTAAGTTTCTGCCAAGACCAAGTGATGATGTTGGCCACCCTTGATTTAATAAGGTCTAATAGCCTTTGCTTGTCCTTTATGGGTCATCTTCATTTATTTCCTCAAAGAAAAATAAAGCTATATTAAACAAACAGGGTTTTGAAGGCTTTTTGGGAAGTGTGTGGTTGCCACAGACTTAAATTTTAGGACATTCTCGAGGTCTGAGGATAACCCTAGAACCTTCTGTGGCAATGACCTGGACTGGATGTTAAGAGTATGTGGCACTCAGAAATCAATGCTGCAAAGCATGGCATTGTGGCCTGCTAAGCACGTGGGTTCAAGGAAAAACTGAGGGTCTAGGCCTCTCTGTTCGTCCCTCATTTCCTGCCCCAAGTACAGGGAGGGGCTCTTTCTGAACATCTCTTACCTGGCTGAAAAAGAGCTTCTTCCAGGAGGAAAACAACTGTCTTGGACTCCCTCCCCAAAACCTCACTAACCTAGGAGGTACCTGCTCAAAGTTCTCCTCATGCCAGCCCAGACAGACTTTTATCTCTTCTCTGCAGGCTGTCATCTGAGAGGCTTTGTTTGCAAAGTCAGCTCTGCATTTATTTACCTTGCCTTGTCCCCAGCTTCCACAGAGCCTAGAGGAACTTGCTCCTAAACTATTATGTGTTCATTATGTCCACTCTTTTTCTCTAAAAATCATTTACTCTGCCTCTAGCACTGCCCACACCCTCCACTTCCCTCTTCTCTGTGAAGAGTATTTAAGACTCAACTGTCCGGCACTTCTTTGAGTTGCCTATTTTGTGTGTCTCCTATGCACACATACAGTTTAATAAATTTGTATACCTCTTCCCCTGCTAATCTATTATTGATTTATTTTAGCAGACTCAATTATCGAACTGCCAAGGAGTACAAAGTTCTTTCTCTTCCACAAGTATCTTAGAGAGAATTGAGAAATCAGGTGACAGACATGTGGCAGAGTGGACATGCATTCCATGTTGGAGTTCCCAATTTGAATCCTGGCTACTCCACTTCCTATCCAGTTTCTTGCAAATGGACACCCAGAGAAACAGCAGGTGATGACTCAAGTAGTTGAGTTCCTGCCAAACACATGGAAGGCCCAGACTGAGTTCCAAGCTGCTGGCTTCAGCCTGACCCAGCCCTAATTTTGGGAATTTGGGGAATGAGTCAACAGAAGATCTGAGTGTGTGTGTGTGTGTGTATGTTATCTCTTTTCAAATAAAGTAAAAATAAATAAATATTTAAGAGAAAATTGAGAAACCACACATCTTTTTGCAATTGGGATCAGGTCCAAGCATCATCCTACTATTAGTCAGGAAAAAGATGGGGAACATTCCTTAGGCTGCCAGTATCATTAAACATTGTCATGTTTTATAATTTATATATTATATTTACATTTACATAAATATAAATAAGTTCCAAAATTGGACTTTCGGATTACAATAAATTATTCTTTAGTGATAGAAGAACAGAAGATAGCACCAATATTAAAAAGACATCAGGTATCACTGGAAACTAATTTTCTGCCTTTAGCATTGACAGCCTTTCAAGAACTAAAGGACTTACTACAGTATTTCTTCCTTCCATCAGTTAGATACCTCTGTCTTTTCCTGAAAAAGACCTATTATAGGTTATCCACTCCAACTCCTCCCTCCCTACTGTACCTCCGAGTTCCACACAAACCAGCCTGTCTATTCTTCTCCCTGGGAAACCTCACAGAACCTTCTCTCCTTGCACACCACTTCCACTTGGAGTCTAACACTGCTTGGAAAGATCACAGGGTGAAACTCAAGAGAACAAACCATATAAATCCTATATATGGCCAGATGGGAAAATAAGAATAAGTTAATCAAGTACCAGGACTTTAGGAAACTGAATTCTCACAGTAAGTCTGTAGCATATCATTATTCCTGCTTTATGGAAGAAATTGTGAACCAGTGGATTTGGTAAGATGACACCACTACTCCCACCTCCCCAAGGAATTGCAGAACCAAAATGTAGCTCTGGACTATCTGGTCCCAAAGTCAGTGTTCTATCCACCAAGCACATTTCTTCCCAGAAAAACACATCCTCTGATCCTCTGGATCATGGCTGTCAAATACAGTAGCCAAAGATACATGTTGACACTTACATGAATTAAAATTTAACAAAATTAAAAGCTCAGTTTCTCGTAGAAAGTTCTGTTGGACAGTGTTGGTCTAGACATAGGATCCTTCATACTTATTAGGGGAACTCTTAAATTTTATATCTCAGAGCTACCCCTGCTGAGATGTACTGCCTATGTTTGTTAAAAAGTGTAATTGAATCAGATCAAATAGCTCAGAGACTCCAGTATGGAGCCAAAGGAGCCCTTGATTATCCCAGAGGGCAGAGAATGGCTAGCAGCAAAGAAACTGTCCTAGTATGGGGAAATGTTACAATCTACAGCAAAGAAAATGAGCCATTGGACACAACCACTACAGCCAGCAAGCAACATTACAGTACAGACACTATTATCTTAACAGAGAAATACTCGGACACAATATACCCAAAAGTCACAAATCACAGAAGCTTAAAGCTAAAAGACTTTATAAAAACTCCAATTCAGTAACACTATCTTATTAACAAGGAAACTGAGGTCCAAAGATATTAAGTGACCTGAAAATAAATGTGTCTTATCATCATACAGGACATGTCATTATATTTTTCTGAGGAGGGACACTGAAATGAGGCTGCCTGAATCAAATCTCAGTTCTGGTATTTCTTGAACTTATTAAACTCACTTGTGAAAATCTCTGAACTGCATTGATAGAAACGAATGATAATTGCAATCATAACATAAGGTTATTTGAGGTGGGAGTTGATTAGCATAATGTTATTTCAGGAGGGAGTTGATATGAGAATAACTGATTTATTAAGCTGGGGACACTTCTGAGAGGGAAAGTCAGTGCTATTCATAATTATGTTGGTAAAAAGAAGTTCAATGAGGACCATCCCAGGCACTTTAGTGGGCTGTCCACTCCTGGAGTAGCTGGCTCAGTGTCAGACTTTAATCCTCTTCATGTCAACCACTTTCAGGTGGAGGGAGCTTTCCAATTCACCAAGAAGATTGGGGTACTTGCTATACAACCACTCTAGTTAATATATGTAAAGTACTTATAACAATGCTTGGCATAAGTCAAGAGCTGTAGAAGTGTTTCTTGTTACTATGTTTACAACTTGACATCATTAGGAAATTCTGTTCTGTGTAATAAAATTCAGCAAGAAAAGGAAATTCACTTAATAAAAATTTGCTTTATGATCAACTTTCCCAGAATGTGTCTATTCTATAAAGAAAGAAACATAAATTATTGTCACTATAGCAAAATAGAATTGCTTATTTCCCTAAGAATAAATAGTATTGCCTTCTATAAAATCCAAAAATTCACTATGCCTTAAATCTTCTAGTAGAGTAGCCACATACATATATATGCTCAACACAAAGCTTACTATTGGCACATTCAGCAAATATCAGTGGCAAAGCTAAGCAACAAATCATGGCCCAATAGGTGTCCAATTATTTGCAAAATCTAATCCCAGAGGGCAAATGACAAAGAGATGTATTGCCTTCTGTGTCATCATCAGAAATGAAAGATAGGAACCATACCTTCCTGAGGCCCACTTTCTTTGCTCTGCTGTGCTGAGACATTCATTTGATTGCATGCCACCACCTTGGAAGTGTTAATTGATTCTAACAGGGAAACAAATTCCAGGAAGTTGGACTCATTTGGTATTTGTCCTTCCTTAGCCTCTAAGTCAGACTTGGATGTTGGTATTGTTTTCTCTTTATCATTAATAACTTCTGCACATCTTTTACTCAAGAAGACATCTGTCCCACTATCCACGCTGAGCACCCGGGCATGTCTCTTTTCATGGCTGGCCTTACAAGACAATGGGTCAAGGTTATCCTGGCCTTCCTTTCCTCCCTCAGACTTGGGGGTCACATCAGATGTGACTGGGGGCACTGTTTCCCAATGATGCCTTGGGGAAGGACTTCCTCCTTCCCCAGATCCATAGCCAGAACACTGATTGGACGATGCTTCTACCTGGAGTCTTTCTGGAGTCTTTTCAGTTCTATTGCCTTCAGAACAAGTAACACCTTCTTCTCCATCTTCAGACAGTTCCAGCGTGATCACAGGAATTCTGATCTGCTCTGTGTTTGTTGGGCTGGCCACTCTTGGGATAGCTGGCTCAGTGTCAGACTTTCCACTGGTCCTTTCTGTGCCAATCAGTTTCAGGTGGAGGGAGCTTTCCAAGTCTGTCATGGAGTTTGGGGTACTGCTCATTGTAATGACAATTTTAATGGGTTCGTGCAGACTCAGTGGGTCCCCAGGTTGAGAATTATCAATAAGAGTAACAGCAACCTCACTGTCTGAGTAGTCTGCTTCATGGTTCAAGGGCAGGTCTACCTGACAGGAAGTTTCTAGCAGCTCTTCCTCAGGTTTGGCCATGATGGTATCACACTGAGGGCAACTGCTGCTCATGCTGTCCTGAGGTGACTTTTTTGGAAACTGTTCCCTTATGGAGCCCTGAGGACAATCTATAGGTTCTGGAATCAAGACTGAATTTTCACTTCCCCATGGCTGGAAAGAAACATCTGTTTCTAGTAAGTCATACTGAGACAAAGACAGGTGTGGCAACTTCTTCAGGGCTCCTTTGTCCACTAGGCCGCCCTCAGATCTGTGGCGGAAAGGGGGCTGCCCCTTGATCCCTCTTTCCTTTCCCTTCCCATTGATGAGAGTTCCAGTGGCAACGGGTTTCACCAATTTTGCTGACCTGGGTGTGGTTTCTTGCATGTGTACTTGAGAAGCAGGTAAGCTTTGTGTTTTGATACCTGGTGAGGTAGATGACACTGGCACTATAGGTTGGTCTTCTGACAGAATGACACCTGTAATAAGTAAAAAATGGCAACTTTATTAGCACCTGAATTGGATGAATAATATCCCAGAGCAAGACCACATAATTACAAAATGTGAAATATCAGCAATAAATGTCACTGGGATGCTTAATTTCAAAAATATCACTTTCACTCTGAAATTGTTCTTCAGATGTCTGTATTTGAAATAACGACTCAGGCATTTAGCTTTTTTTTGTGCCATGGTCTCAGAACACAGAGTGATATGATTTAAAGAATGTATTTAGGGGGCCGGCGCCGCGGCTCACTAGGCTAATCCTCCGCCTAGCGGCACCGGCACACCGGGTTCTAGTCCCGGTTGGGGCGCCGGATTCTGTCCCGGTTGCCCCTCTTCCAGGCCAGCCCTCTGCTGTGGCCAGGGAGTGCAGTGGAGGATGGCCCAGGTGCTTGGGCCCTGCACCCCATGGGAGACCAGGAAAAGCACCTGGCTCCTGGCTCCTGCCATCGGATCAGCGCGGTGCGCCGGCCGCAGCGCGCCGGCCGCGGTGGCCATTGGAGGGTGAACCAATGGCAAAGGAAGACCTTTCTCTCTGTCTCTCTCTCTCACTGTCCACTCTGCCTGAAAATTAACTGAAATGTGATCCCTGTTAAACATAAGAGTGGGAATAAGAGAGGGAAGAGATGTATAATTTGGGGCATGCTCGGGCTGACTTGCCCCAATTGGTAGAGTTGGAAACATACCAGGGGATTCCAATTCAATCCCATCAAGGTGGCATGTGCCAATGCCATCTCACTACTGCAAGTGATCAATTTCAGTTCACAATTGATCATAATGAAAGGACTAAGAGTCAAAGGGAGCACATAAACAAGTCTAGTATCTGCTAACACCAACCAATAGAATAAATAAAGGGGAGAGTGATCCAACATGGGAAGTGAGATACTCAGCAGACTCATAGAATGGCGGATGTCCTAAATAGCACTCTGGCCTCAGAATCAGCCCTAAAGGCACTCGGATCTGGCTGAAAAGCCCATGAGAGTATTCCAGGCATGGAAAGCCAAGACACTCTGGCAAAAAGATCTCTGTGAGTGAGATCCCAGTGGAAAGAACAGGTCTTCAAAGAGGGAGGTGCCTTTCTCTGAAGGGAGGAGAGAACCTCCACTTTGACTATGACCTTGTCTAAACAAGATAAGAGTCGGAGAACTCAAGGGGCTTCCATAGCCTTGGAAACTCATAACTGGTGCATAGGGAGATTACTGATGCCATAAACAGGAGTGTCAATTGGTAAAGTCAACAACAGGAGTCACTGTGCACTTACTCCTCATGTAGGATCTCTGTCCTTAACGTGCTGTACACTGAGGCTTAATGCTATAACAAGTACTCAAACAGTATATTTCACTTTGTGTTTCTATGGGGGTGCAAACGATTGAAATCTTTACTTAATGTACACTAAACTGATCTTCTGTAAAAAAAAAAAAAAAAAAAAAAAAAAGAAAGAAATTATTTCCCAACTTGACTCTCACTGGGATTAAACATGACAATAGGTCTGATCTGATTTCATCATCATTTAAAAAAAATCATCTATTATTTTTCACTTTATGTTTCTGTGTGGGAGCAAACTGTTGAAATACTTACTTAAGGTATACTAAGCTGATCTTCTGTATATTAAGATAATCGAAAATGAATCTTGATGTGAATGGAAGGGGAGAGGGAGTGGGAAAGGGGAGGGTTGTGGGTGGGAGGGACGGTATGGGGGGGAAGCCATTGTAACACATGAGTCGTACTTTGGAAATTTATATTCATTAAATAAAAGATTAAAAAAAAAAAAAAAAAAAAGAATGTATTTAGGTCCCATGGCCAGAAAGACCTTAGCTCTGCTGCTATCTTACAGATACATTACCTTGGGTATATAGCTTAATCGCTCTAAACCAAGATTTTTCCACTGTGGTACTAGTGACATTTTGTACCAGATCATTCTTTGCCATGGGGAACCATCCTGGGCACTGCAGAGTGCTTAGCAGCATCCCTGGCCTCTACCAACTCAATGCCAGTAGAAGCTTCGCCCCAGTCATGAACATCAAAAATGCCTCCAGATATTGTCAAATGTCTACCAGGGAGCAAAACCTCTCAGCTGGGCGCTATTACTCTAACACTCAACATTCTCATCTGTAAACCTTGCATACTCTATTACTAGGAATAATATGACATTATCAAAAACTGCATGTTCATGTTAATAGAAGCAGAAGAAGCATTTGACAAAATTCAACATCCTTTTATGATAGATATATTAAACAATTGAGATTACAGGAAAATTTTCAAAACCTAATAAAGGAATCTATGAAACATTCAAAGCTAACAACATACATAAAAATAACAGATTCAATTATTTTCCTGTAAGAACAGAAACAAGCCAATGCTGCCCACTCTCACACTATCTCAAGTCAACATTATACTAGAAATTCCAGGCAGAGTAATTTTCAGGAAAAGGGGGAGGGGGGCAGGGAAAGAAGGAAGAAGGAGAAGGGAAGGAAAGAAGAATGAAGACAACCAGATTAGAAAGAAAAAGGGAAAGTATCTTTATTTATAAATAACATCATTGTATGTACAGAAAATTGTAAGAAATTCATTTAAAAATTACTAGAAGTAATGATGAAGTTCAGCTAGTTTGTAAGATATACAACACAGATGAATCTTGAAAATATTGGGCTAATTGAAAGAAATCATTCGCAAAACACCACACACTTATATGATTACACTTACATGAAATGTCTAGAATACTGCAATCTATAGATGCAGAAAGCAGTATAGTAGCTGCCTGGGGGGTTGCAGAGAATCAAGGTGATCGTTAACTATGTGTGTGTGGGTGTATGCATGTGTGTGGGCGGGGGCTTCTTTGTAAGGGAAGGAAAATGCACTAAAATTACTGTGATGGTGGATACACAAATTTATCAATATATTTTTTAATTTTTAATTAGTTATTTATTTTTTTGCCAGGCAGAGTTAAACAGTGAGAGAGACAAGCAGAGAGAGTTATAGACAGTGAGAGAGAGACAGAGAGAAAGGTGTTCCTTCCATTGGTTCACTCCCCAAATGGCCGCCATGGCTGGTGCTGCACCGATCCGAAGCCAGGAGCCGGGTACTTCCTCCCAGTCTCCCATGTAGGTGCAGGAACCCAAGCACATGGGCCATCCTCCACTGCCCTCCCAGGCCACAGCAGAGAGCTGGAGTGGAAGAGGAGCAACCGGGACTAGAACCCCAAGCGGGACTAGAACCCCGGGGTGCCAACGCCACAGGTAGAGGATTAGCCAAGTTAGCCACGGCGCCAGCCTATTTTTTTTTTTTTTTTAAGATTTATTTTATTTATTTGAAAGACAAAGTTACAGAGAGAGGCAGAGACAGAGAGAGAGGTCCTCCATCCGCTGGTTCACTCCCCAGATGGCCGCAACAGCCAAAGCTGCGCCAATCTGAAGCCAGGAGCCAGGAGCTTCTTCTGGGTCTTCCACACAGGTGCAGGGGCCCAAGGACTTGGGCCATCTTCTACTGCTATCGCAGGCCATAGCAGAGAGCTGGATCAGAAGAGGAGCAGCCGGGACTAGAACTGGCGCCCATACGGGATGCTGGTGCTTCAGGTCAGGGAGTTAACCCAGTGCGCCACAGAGCCAGCTCCATATCAATATATTTAAAAACCTTTCAATTGTTCACTTTAAATGAGAAAATTGTATGGTATCTGAATTATGTCTCAATAAAGCTATTAAAAATAAAGTCAGTGTGCGTTTTAACAATTGCAGGAATTTCCAAAGTACAGCTTATGGATTACAATGGCTTCCCCCCCCCATAACGTCCCTCCCACCCGCAACCCTCCCCTTTCCCACTCCCTCTCCCCTTCCATTCACATCAAGATTCATTTTCGATTCTCTTTATATACAGAAGATCAGTTTAGCATACATTAAGTAAAGATTTCAACAGTTTGCTCCCGCACAGAAACATAAAGTGAAAAATACCGTTTGAGTACTAGTTATAGCATTAAATCACAATGTACAGCACACTAAGAACAAAGATCCTACATGAGAAGTAAGTGCACAGTGACTCCTGTTGTTGACTTAACAAACTGACACTCTTGTTTATGGCATCAGTAATCAACCGAGGCTCTTGTCATGAGCTGCCAAGGCTATGGAAGCCCCCTGAGTTCACCGACTCTGATCATATTTAGACAAGGCCATGGTCAAAGTGGAAGTTCTCTCCTCCCTTCAGAGAAAGGTACCTCCTTCTTTGATGACCCGTTCTTTCCACTGGGATCTCACTCACGGAGATCTTTCATTTAGGTTTTTTTTTTTTTTTTTTTTTTTTTAATTTTTCCAGAGTGTCTTGGCTTTCCATGCCTGAAATACTCATGGGCTTTTCAGCCGGATCCGCATGCCTTAAGGGCTGATTCTGAGGCCAGAGAACTGCAGGAATTGTATATCTCATAAAATTGGACTAGGAAAAAAACCAAAAAGCTTTAGTACAACGTTTTGCTAAAAATTTTAGCAAAATTACTGGATTAATAAAAATATATGGGTTTAAATACTATTTGTGTATTTTACTTGCTATGACTCAGAACAAAATGATGCCTCAAAATCTCTACCACAATTCCTAGTACAATTAATAAAAATGGAAATAGTTCTTTCAACAGGAATGATGAACAGACAATCAAAGGATATCAAGTAATAGATGTTAGACTATGTAGAATATGATGGAAAAGTTTATATTTGTGTATAAAATAGACACATAGTAACAATGTTAAGAAACTGAGTATAGTACCTAAAATATGAGAAACCTAACTAATATGCATTTCATCTCAGCAGTAATAACATAGACAGAATAGAGGCAGGTGTTGTGGTGTAGTGGATTAAGCCACTAAGTGCAATGCTGGCATTCCATATGAGCACTGGCTTGTATCCCAGCTGCTTGCTTCAGATCCAGCTCCCTGCTAATGTTCCTAGAAAAAACATGGAAGATGGCCCAAGTACTTGCACCCCTGCTACCCACATGGGAGACCCGATAGAGTTTCTAGTTCCTAGCTTCAGGTTCAGCCAGCTGTATCCTTTGCCACCATTTGGGGAGTAAACCAGAAGATGAAAGATCTCTCTCACTTTCTGTCTCTCTGCTGCTCTACCTTTCAAATAAACAAAATAAATCTTTAAAAAATAATAATACAGGAGCTGGCACTGGAGCATAGGGGGTAAAGCAACAGCCTCCAGTGCTGGAATCCCATAAAGGCACCAGTTCAAGTCCTGGCTGCTCTCCTTCCAATACAGCTCCCTGTTAACGTGCCTGGGAAAGCAGCAGAAGATGGCCCACGCCCTTGGGCACCTGCAACCATGTGGGAGACCCGAAAGAAACTCTTGGCTCCTGACTTCGGATCTGCTCAGCTCCGGCAGTTGCAGCCATTTGGAAAGTGAGCCAGTGGATGGAAGATCTCTCTCTTTCTCTCTCTCGCTCTCTCTCTGCCTCTGCCTCTTTGTAACTCTGCCTTTAAAATAAATAAGTAAATCTTTTAAAAAATAATAATACAGACAAAATAATTTGGATAATCCATTATATACTGTTATAATAGAATGTAACCAAACAATGAAAAACAAAACTTGCTTTTAAGGATTCAGGGCCATAGTGCTAATTTCAGTTGTTTTCTAGAATATAAAATTTAATATTATTCAAAATTTAAATGCAGAAAATTTGTCTTCATAGTGAAGTAGAAAAAAAAATACAAATTTAGAAAAAGGAAGAAATTAATTCAGACCTCCAAAAGGTATTTTATAAGCCTTTCGAAGGCAACCAATAAACAATAAAACAAAAGCTTAGTTAAAAAAAAAAAAAAAAAAAAAAAAAAAACTTCACTAAACCTTTAGGTTAAAAAAAATGTTTTGGGAGGAAGAGATGGGAAAAAGTTGATTAACAGGTACTAGCAGGTACTTATATATGTTAGTACGAAGTTCTGGGGTTATGTTACATAGAAGGGTAACTATAGATAATGTACTGTATATTACTTTAGTTAGGGAAAAACTGGCAAATAGGATTTTGAATGTTCCCACCATACAGAAATGCTAAATGTTTGAGGAGATAGATATATTTTCCCTGATTGAACATTACACAGTATATACATGTATTGAAACATCACATGGTACCTCATAAATATATACAATTTTTATGTGTCTGTTAAAAAAAAACTTTAAAAGATCTGGTGATGTGGAGTAGAAGGTTAAACCTGGGCATGGGTTTGCTTCCTGGCTGCTCTACTTCTGATACAGCTCCCTGCTAAAGTGCCTGAGAAAGCAGCTGAAGATGGCTCCTGTGCTTGGATCCCTGCATCCATGTGGGAGACCCAGAGAAGCTCCTAGCTCCTGGCTTCTGGCTTCGTATCAGACCAGCTCCAGCTGTTGCAGCCATTTGGAGAGTGAAACAATGCATGAGAGATCTGTCTGTCTGTCTGTCTCTCTCTTTCTGTAGCCCTGCCTTTCAAATAAATAAATAAATCTTTAAAAAGGACTTTAATTTGGAAACAGTTTCCCAACATTCTTAACTTAAAAGAAATGAAGATATGCAGAATGCTCTATAATTTTCTCTGTCATTTTCTTTTTTTTTTTTTTTTGTAAAGATTTATTTTATTTATTTGAAATACAGAGTTACAGAGAGAGAGGTAAAGACAGAGAGAGAGGTCTTCCATTCGCTGGTTCACTCCCCAGATGGCCACATTGGCTGGAGCTGCACCAATCCAGAGCCAGGAGCCAGGAGCTTCTTCTGTGTCTCCGACACGGGTACAGGGGCCCAAGGACTTGGGCCATCTTCTACTGCTATCCCAGGCCATAGCAGAGAGCTGGATTGGAAGAGGAGCAGCCATGAGTAGAACTGGCACCCATATGGGATGCTGGCACTTCAGGCCAGGGCATTAACCTGCTGCACCACAGCGCTGGCCCCTTCCCTGTCATTTTCTAATGTAAATACTTAACTAAATTTCTCATTGACAGACACATTTTTAGTTCACAATGATAAATTTATCACATGTCCACTATTATGAGCTTTATGAAAATGAGACACAGACTTAGAAAATGACAGTGAAACATCACCAATAAAATATCACAATTTGAATGTAGACCTGATATACAAATTCTGATGGAAAACAATTCAAAGTTAAAGAAATGAAGTTAAAATATAACTGTATAGTCTTATGGTAGTCCTTACTGGCATTCAGTTCCATCAAAGTATTTTTTATTTCACTGAGGATAATGCTGTGATAAAATATTAAATATTCTACCTTTGAGATCTTCAACTGTTTCCTGCGCCGGCAACTCCTAAACAAAGGAAAAAGTGAAAATCAATACATGAGTCAGCTCACTGCACATTTCCAGGCAGCCAGCAGCCACTTTTTTCCTAAATGGCACATGGTGAAAAAAACACAGTATCCACTCTCCTTACACTTCTATAAAATGGGGAGCAAAAACAAATACCAATAAATAAATACAAAAGGATGAAATATAGAAATCATTTTATTAAGTGACATAAGCCAGGCAAAGAAAGACAAGTACCATATGATCTCATTTATCTGAGTAATCAAAAAATTGATCTCCTAGAGGTTGAGAGTAAACTAGTGGTTACCAGAAGGCGGGGAAGGGTCAGAGCAAGGGAGTGTTAGGGAAAGGCTGGATTTGTGGGGACTCAGTTGTCATTAGAAAAAAAAAGTTTTGGTGTTCTGTTGCATAATAGGGTGATTATAGATTTTAAAAAATGCACTATATATTTTTTTTCTTTTTTTTTTTTTTTTGACAGGCAGAGTGAACAGTGAGAGAGAGACAGAGAGAAAGGTCTTCCTTCGTCTTGGTTCACCCTCCAATGGCCGCCGCGGCCAGCGCGCTGCGGCCGGTGCACCGCGCTGATCCGATGGCAGGAGCCAGGAGCCAGGTGCTTTTCCTGGTCTCCCATGGGGTGCAGGGCCCAAGCACTTGGGCCATCCTCCACTGCACTCCCTGGCCACAGCAGAGAGCTGGCCTGGAAGAGGGGCAACCGGGACAGAATCCGGCGCCCCGACCGGGACTAGAACCCGGTGTGCCGGCGCCGCAAGGCGGAGGATTAGCCTAGTGAGCCGCGGCGCCGGCTTATATATATATATATTTTTTTTTAAAAACTACAAGAAAAGATTTGGAATGTTTTCACCCAAAGAGAAGATAAATATTTGAGGAGATAATTATGTTCATCCTGAATTGAACATTGCATAATGTAAATATGTACTGAGACATCACATAATACCCCATAAATATGCACAATAAAAGATTTTAGGGCCAGCACCATGGCATAGTGAACTAAGCCTCCACCTGTAGCACCGGCATCCCATATGGAGACCTGTTCTAGTCCTGGCTGCTCCTTCCAATCCAGCACTCTGTTAATGGCCTGGGAAAAGTAGTGGAAGATGGCCCAAGTGATTGGGTCCCTGCACCTGCATGGGAGACCCAAAAGAAGCTCCTAGCTCCTGGTTCCTGACTTCGGATTGGCTCAGCTCCAGCAATTGCAGCCACTTGGGGAGTGAACCAGCAGACAGAAGACCTTTCTCTGTCTCTCCCTCTTTCTGTCTGTAACTCTACCTCTCAGATAAATAAATAAATCTTAAAAAAAAAAAAAGATTTATGTACAAACAACAAAGAAAGAAAACTGTACTGCAGCCAAGGCGGTAGAAGGTGTTTGCTAATTAAGAAAGTAAAAGGAGAAGGATTAAGGCATGACTTACACAATAATAAATAGAGCCCAATACAGCAAATCTAGAAAAAAGGTGATATATTGACTTTCCAAGAAACCAGTATGATTTAGTGTGAAAAGCAGTGAACAGATGCAGTTAATTCTAGGTGGAAAGCATCAGAAATAATAACAAATTAAGTGAATGACAGGAGAAGAAAGTGAAGGTCTGCATATTGGTTCCCTGGCCAGGTGGCTGTCCCCATAGGAGGACAGCAGCAGAGGAGGCCAATGGGTATGCTCTGAACACATGACTGGGTGTTTATCTTATGGTCACAAGTGCACTCCTCAGGCCATTTCCATATCCTGAGATTGATCTTCCACAAGTAAAGGACCAATATTTACAGTACATGAACTACAATCACAGCTACTGTCTGATCCCTCTCTAAGAAGGGATCAACACTACAGCAACAGGAAGAGAGTAAAACCAGAAACAAGAGCACTAACCAAAGGCCCAGAAGAGTGATGAGAATTCAAGCTCTGCCCTCTGGAACTGCAGTGGAGGGGAGGCGTAGGGAAGGTTCGAGTGGCCTCTTCCTTTCTATCATTGTGAATTTGCCTGTTATTGCTAAGCCAGCAGGGTAAACACAAAAGCAGTGACATTGTTAAACAAAAGTGATTCTTTAGGTAATAGCCCAAAAACTACTTCCCCCTAAAGTCTATTCTGTCATATGCTTTATATACATCTCTTCTTTATAAAAGAGGGTAATAAACATTACTTTTAAATTATTGGACATATTTTCTTAAAGGATTATAGGGAATAGTTTAAGAATTGCGACATGCTTACTATAGAATTATTCTAAATATTTCAATTCTATGCACGTATATCAATAAACACACATGCTATTCATTAAAATAATCTAGTATGCTCTAAGTCATTTAAAAAACAGGATACAAATACTGAAGTAAAAATTTTTGCAGTGTTAAGTCTAAGGCAAATGAATTGAGATCATGGTTTAAAACCATGTTGATGGTTAAATTGTCTGAATTATGAATATCAATTTTATTATTAAGCATATGCTTAAATATAAGGAGAGCACACATATCTCTATGTGTGCCTCTGTACTGGTATATTTTCATAAGTAATAAATGAGAAAGACTATTTTAATCAAAATCAAAACATTTAAATTATGAACTAACACGTTAATTGGAAAGGTTACCTTGGAATTTTGTGGTTAGTCATGTGTTCACTGTTGGCATCTTTGTCTTTACTTGACTTTTCTTTCTTTCTGGAGGGTCTTTTCTGAATTACTTCTCCTTTATCAAACATGAGGTGTAGGCGATAACTGACCAGCTTGATTATTGTGAAGAACAGAGTCACTGACATGCAGTAAAAAAATACAATGATGGCATTTGGAGGAAAAGCCTAGAGAAGAGAAAAAGAGACTCACTTGCTCATAGGATTTTTTGTTTTGTTTTATTTTAAATCTAGAAGCATTTTTGAGCATAAACCATGCAAGACTTCAAATTTTATTAGTTTTGTAAGTTATCCTGATTAGAACACCCAAGGAAGGGTAGGAGCGTGGGCAGGAGAGAGGGTAGGGTGAAAATTATCCCTATGTAGCTAAATCTGTATATATGAAATATATATGAAATATATGAAAGTTGTTTCCCTTAACTTAAAAAAAATTTTTTTAAATACCTGAAGAGAAAGATCTGATGTCTTTATTTTCTTGTTTTTTACATCGTTTTTGTTTCTCATCTGTACTAATTGCACTGATGACCAATATTTGATTTGCAGGTAGAAAGTCCACAGAATAAGATAGGTGAGAGGGAAACTTTCAATTTTCTATTAGCTGTTTTACATAGCTTCATCTGATTTCCCTATCCAGTCTTAAAGGCAAAGGAAAGAATTTTCAGGATTTTGTTTCCTTCAATAACATACAAAATGCCTTATGAAGAATAGAGGGAAGAAGGAAGGAGAAAAGTTGGAGTAACCTCTTCTTTCCCACTCTGCTGGGTTGACACCAGTGGACATTGGGCTTCCCCTGGGTGGTGATGCATAAAAGAAGCCCTGAAAGGGTCCTTCTTCCTAAAGGAGGTGCGTCATTTCAAGCAATGACAAAGGATCTCAACATGGATATTATGGTGAAGCTCAGCTCAATTCTGTCCAGTCCCTTCAAGAAACAAAAACAATCATTAAGATCCATGTAATTGTCCCACTCTACAGCATCCCTCACATATCTTCCTAATTCTCTCCAATGACCAAGGACCACCACAGATACTCTGGATCTTCCAAAATGAAATTATTATTCCTTGGGATAGAAATAGGGATAAGAATATCCTCAGGTGCTCTCAAGGGCAGCTTCAATAGCCAGTGAGACTTTTACCCCCAAATCTCCCTGAAGGATCTTGGGAATATAGCATCAGCCCAGCCTGGACTGAAGCCTAGAGAACAAGGAGGCCTGCAGACAACACAGCACAGCCCACGTCTGCCCCTAAGCAACTCCTGCATGCCTTGCCAGGGTCCCAGATGATGGTCCACCATGCAGATAAGACCATCTCTAAAAAACACTAGCCACAGGGCTGGCACTGTGGTAAACTGGGTGAAGCCGCCACCTGCGGTGCTGGCATCCCATATGGGCACCAGTTTGAGTCCTGGCTGCTCCACTTTTGACCTAGCTCTCTCCTGTGGCCTGGGAAAGCAGTGGAAGATGGTCCAGGTTCTTGGGCCCCTGTGCCCATGTGGTAGACCCAGAAGAAGCTCCTGGCTTCTGGCTTTGGATCAGTGCAGCTCCAGCCATTGCAGCCATCTGGGGAGTGAGCCAGCAGATGAAAGACCTTGCTCTCTCTCTGCTTCTTTTAAAAAGATATATTTAATAAATATTTAAGTAATATTTATTATTTAATAAATACTTATTATTAATATTTATTAATATTAATAATTAATGTATAAATAATACTTATTAAATAAATAATATTTAATGCTATTTAATAAATAAATATATCTTTTAAAAAAAGACCATCCAGAAAAAAAAGAAAGAGTAAAATACCCCCAACAGGTTAAAGGCAAAGTGAAGAATTTCCAAAATCACACATTTGCTCTTACTTCATGGGGAAACAGTCCACCAATAATATAAATTAATGAATAAATGAAAGAAAGAATGATTAAATAAGATAGATAGTTAGGTAATAGATAAGGCTAGGTCCCCTACTAGCAGAGGGTAAGTTTCAAATTTACATATGCAACTGCTGATATGAAACTGTAAAGAATTTAAAGCATTATGTAGATAAGTTGTTTGCTGAGTGAGAGAGAGAGAGGAGTGCAAAAAGAGAGACACACACACAACAAATAACCCAACACATTTTCTTGACTATTCCAAGTTTAAAAAGTATAGGCTAAACCCAGAGTTACTTTGAAGAAACTGATATTAGAAGGAAAAAAACCTCTCAGATGTCTATGAGAATATGAAATAAGAGTATTTTTACCTACAAATGATATTCAGAATTTGTTTGAATTTTAGTATCACTAGGGTTTCATAGAATTCTGGCCAATAGGAGTAGCAGAGAGACATAGAGTTTCCTAAGTATTCCCTCTGCCCCACTACAGTTCCCTGTATCTCTTGCAGTCAGGCTTAGGGCTGTGTGGCCACTTTTAGTCAACAGACTATGAGCGAGCAAAAGTACAATTATGAGCTACATGCCTCCTCTATCCCCCTTTTCCCCATTTTACTTAATGGTCTCAAAGATCAAGTTTCCCAGAAAATACAACTCTAAGACCATAACGTTTCCTTCAGCCTGGGTACCTGAGTGACTCTATGGAACACACACCACAGACCCGAAATGGACTCATAACTGGAGTTAAAAATAAATCTTTGATTTATGAAACTTCAGAGATCTTGGATTTTGCCTACTATGAAAACTATCATTGGTTAATATAATTAATACAGGTGATTCCATCTCTGTATGAAAGCTTCCATTCAAATTAGATCTGAGATAAACTGAAAAAATCCTAAGGCATTGAGAAGAATAGTTAAGGAAGCAGGGTGAGAATGCTAGGGAAAAAGTGAGAGAGACAAAAAGATTATATATGGCTCTTGGAAAAATTCACTTGGGAAACAATTGACTTGTCACAATAAGGAAATATAGTACTTTTTTCTTATCCACATAAATACAGACTACAGCATAAGCCTTGTAATTTTAAAGTTAAGAGACATCAAGCAGTTAGGATTTGCGGTTAACACAAGCAATAATGTTTGGTTGCAACCCAGGTATGAACAGTGTGCTACATATGCACATATTCCTCCCCAAATTCTCTGATCTCACAATTTCTTAATAAATAAACAAATTAAATAAACAAATACCTTTCCCTTCAGCAGACCATAAAAAATAATCTACCATCTTCCCAGATACTGCTTTTTATGACATGCAGTTCTGCTTAGCCCAGGCTCCTGCAATTCTACATTCCCACAGACATCATTGAAAGTCATTTTCAAGGCAACTGTCCTGCAGGTATCATGCTCAGTCAACAAAACACCTCCAGCTTCTAGGATTTGCTCTCCCTACAGGTATGCATGAGAGGACAAGAGTAGGCTCTAGGGAAGAACATGAAATGGATGAATAGTTATGAATTTGTTTTTAACATATATCAGAATTTTCCTCCATATAAGGTTTATCACATTTTGAATAGACGTTTCCTTGTTCTAAATTCCTTATTTCCATGAATGTTTCCTTTTAGCATATTCTGATTAACACAAGGCAAAATTTTTCAAAATAGTATTCTTGGCCGAAGAAAACACATCACTGTTAGAAGAAAACGAATTCCTCTCTACTCCTGTAATCCCCTGTAGAGGGCATTACTCCTCAACATGGCTGGCCTCTCTCTGTGCCTCGGACCCACACTGCCATTAGCAGCTTCTGACTGATAAATTTAGAGAACAGAAACTGGGTGTGTCTTCCTTCCACCTCCTCTTTTGTTCTCTCAGGAGCTGGCTGGGTAAGGAAGAGGCATGGATCCCCCATGCTGCAAGGCTTCCCGTGTCAGGCTTCATCTCAGGGAGAGCCAAAGATTTTTACAGCTTTGTGACAGTCAGAAAACCTACTTGCCTGTGAGTATAAGTTACAATCCCAAAACCAGCTCCACAAGTAATACAGAACTCCATCTGCTTGACTCTTGCTTCCCTCAAGTGGCTCAGAAAAGGTGGATGCCATTTACTGGGTCATCAAATCTACACATAAAGTTCATGAACTTGACTGGAAGGAGAGCCTCTCTAAGCTTTGTTGGACACTTTGTGCTCTTAGTCTAGGTTTAATTCATTGAGGTGGCTCATGTTCAACCTCATAAACTTTGTTTCCCGGCCCAAAGCAAAAATTAGAAGTAGACAAAATAGTGCAACGAGACATGATAAATGATGGCTTAAATCACGAGAGAAGTAAAAAAAAAAAAAAAAAAAAAAAAAAAAAAAGGAAATTAAAAAGAAACAAAGGAAGAAAAAAAAAAGAAAACCACATCTATAAAACAGCAAATGCACTTCTATGATCACTTTCTGAGACACAAAAATACCTTAGCCATGTCTGAAGACAGTACCACAAAAGAGTAATAAGATGTCTAGAATTACAAAGAAAATGCTCCATGACATTCAATATACTGTTAGAGAAAGCAGGGAAATTTAAAGCCACCCCTTCAATGTGGTTAAAATAAATTGAGTTTTCTTGCTTAAAGGCTAAATTTCGAGTCATTTGGAAGATGTTTTTACTCAGAATATGTAGCCTAATAAATAAAGCATTAATCTGAAGAGTGTGACGTTCATATTCATTGTTGACATTTATATACCTCTCTGATCACACTGAGGTTGTTCTGCTTGGTCTGGGTATTCATGACGCGCAGGGCTGACAAGGGCTTTGGAACCCACTATTTCATTTTTCAGGAAGCCTGATGAGTTTTACCAATGTTAGGAAACCACAGATTGATCTAAAAAGAAGGAATTCAGCATGAGCAACTTGAATTGTGTCATCTGCTGCACAGATCAGAGAGATTCTATTTTGCTGATCTATTTTGTCAACTTAAGAGAGATCACATCTGTCTGTCTAGTTATCTACTCCCCATTTACTCATTCATTCCTGTAACAGATAATTGTTTAGTGTCTTGTCTGTGTCATTCAAGTAGGACTTTTGGGTCCTCTTGAAGTAAATTTTAATGTCTTGGTGGGAAGGCAGTGTTGGGAATAGGTATGTATGCCCAAAATCAGACCACATGATAGAAGCTATCATTTGTATGCATTTATGTATGTGGAGGAATTTATGAGTTTTCAAATCCAAAATAACAGTTCAGTACACATTTCATGAATTTATGTTATGAAAAAATAAAAAACAAATATAGTATTTTCCTGAGAAATCTGTAACTTATCTTTTGAGAACTGGAAAGAA